CCGTCCAACAGCGTGGGAGAAGCAGTGATTTTTAAGGTGGAACTGCTTCATTCAGTGTTTTTAGTGGTTTTAATCAGCGGGTCCATTTGAGCAGGAGACAATGGTGGTGAAGACAACAACTCCGAAGCTACTTCACAATGTTATTAAACTCTTGTTTTCATGTGAAAGACCCCCTATCGGCAGAAAATAAAAAATATGTTTTTAAAGGATAATTACAGCCTAAATTCCCTCCCAACATATTTTAAAAAAGCAACAGAGAAGTAAGGATTGAACTCCTGACTATGCAGTGTGTGAGGCGGAGGTGGTCAGTCTGTGTCAGGGGACATGTGGGAGACTGACCATCTCTCAGTGTAGCATGGTCAACAACAAGCTGTGACAGACCCTTACTGTGTGGGGGCCGGTGTTGAAGCTAAGCTAACTAAATTCTGTAATCCAAGCAGACCCATGCAGCTACGTTTGAGCAGAAAAAGCAGTTTTACATACAGTGTTTTGTTGGACAAGAATGTATTTAATTATTATTATAACAGTGCAAAATCATATTGCGGAGTTCCTCTTTAATGATGGAAAGTGTTCTAACAAACTCCATGCCGCATATAGGGCTTTAAGCAAGAAATAGCCCCAGTTCCACAGAGTACATGTTCACGCAAATCTGATAATGAAAATGGAGTTATTTATTGCGATAAGAGATAATATCATATATAGTCCCATCCCGAGTCTAAAGCTCATCACTTTGCCAACTGCTCTGGGTTGTCTACGTTTTTTGAGATTATAGATAGAGACAGTGTTATTGTCACATTGCTGTCATATTATAATATAGGCCAAAGGCTTATTATTACTCTATAGAATTAAGCAGACCTGTAGATTTTGCATTCTGAACATGCCTCAGATTAATGTTCCATTTGACAGATAGTCTAAATGCCACTGAAAGGAAACAAAAAGCGTCTCTTCCCACCTAGAATGAAACCCTTTATTGTTCCTTGACCCTTTGGAGAGCAACCTGCCCAAGCATAAAGCAGCAGTAATCATTAGGCACTGCTTGGGGGAGCCGAGCACCTGAGAAGGAGGTTTGTGTTTATTCAATATCTTTTTAATTACATTTTGTGGAAAATCATTAAGACTATGCCCTTAAACAGTAATTTAGTTTCATAGTGATAGTCCTGTTGCTCAGCCTCCAGGGCTCTGCTGATTTGGAGCAGCTTGAAAGACTTTGAAGAAAAAGATTTGTTTGCAAAAAGATCAGCTGGATTGACATTTTGATAATTGCCAAATGAGTTTATTTTAATTAGAATTTCAAAATGTATTGTACTCATTCTTCCTCTTTGAAATTACACCTCCCCCACCATGCTCGATACACTCCCTGTTGTACTGTCCGGTAATGCCCCCAAACCCCCTGCAGTTTCTTCATTACCACAGTTTACGGAATATCTCTGGGTTAGAAAGAAATTTGAGTTGCAATAAGAAACTAGGAGAGTGTGTCTTGAAATAAGTGGGGGTGACATAAGCTGCCACTCCATCACCATTTGGGTTAGATATTCTTATAAGCCAATTTATATGAGCGTGATTTTCTTTGATTAGTGTTACACAACCCTTGTTTCATCAGTGTGAATGTGGGCTCTATGGTTGGTTGAAAAGCAGGTCAGCCTAAGTTGCTTTTATAGAAGTGAAGCATGTAAATCTCTTCGTTCTGTCTTTGCTGGACTTCACTTTGTGTCTGACGTGGCTAGTGTTGGCAGAGCACACTGTACATTTATGATGTGTGATTTCCCAAATGGCCCAAGCCACACAATGCATACTTAGACTCATTTAAATCAACAGATGCATAATTTGTTTACCTGTGTTTCTCATTTTGACAAAGAAATAGAGTAGTAGCAACTAATGTAGAGAAACTATGTTAGTTGCATCTTCATCCAATGTGGATCTGGTGATCACTTGCGTTGCAGTTTCACTGTCAGAGTGAACATTTAATGAAAGGTATTATCACTGTTGCTGCTGTTTACGTTCCCCCAGACGCAAATTCAAGAAATGTACTACAGAATTATTACTTTCTGGGTATATAAATAACTATAGGACTGCCACCTAATAGTCGAGTAAAGTCTTAGTTAACTCACTTTTTATTAGTCGGATATTCACAGAAAAACAAGGAGCTGCACGGACTGCAACGTTTCTATGACAACACAGCGCTGCTGCATGTGCTAACTGCTAATAAGTTACTGCTGTTATACTGGGCTGAAAAAAATGAACAAAATGTTCAGGGTCCTTGCTCGTTGTTCTAATTATCATAATCATTACCGCTTTTTCTGTTAGTATTTAACAGGCAGCTGTTCAAATCTATATATTTCAATAATTCAATTAATATAAACATTCAACCATCAGTCGACTGTTGGCTTTATCTACCGACCGCTAGTCGACTAGAAATATCTTTGTGTTTTATTCTAACTGAAATTATTGTATATTCTGTGTGTGGGTGGGTGTATGTGTAGCATGAATGGGCATACAATTCATTGTGCATCCCTGTGTTGATTAAACATCTTACTTTGGATACTTACTTTCTGGTACAGAATGATGGAGCAGTGCTGTTGTTGTTATTTGTGCTGTAGAGCTGGGATATACAATTTTCTTACAGGGTATGTGCTCGTTCCACATCAAACATTACATTTTGTAATGTAACGCTGATCAGTAATATCATAGAAATAAAAAAAGATTTACACCTACCTACAGTAACACCTTAGAAACGTCTGTTTTTGCTAATTCTGAGAATTAAATACCCGACAAGTAAAAGTGGTTCATTACACTGATTAAAATGCAGCATTGCCATAGCATTCAATTCATGTTGTGGAGACGGTAGGCATAGATTTTCTTCAAGAAGCAGATGAAGCAAAGACTCAGACATCATTAAACTTTTTTGTGTCTGTCTGCAGATACACAGTCGGGCCCAAAAGTCGATTGAACCATTTATTTTTTAAATGGTTCCGGTGCTTAAACGGTTCTCGAACCGGTACTTAAAAAAACGAAACCACACACACTTTGTCAAAAA